AGGAGGGCAATGAGGACGATCCGGGGACTGGAAACCAAGCCTTGTGAGAAAAGTCTGAAAGAACTGAGCGTGTTTAGCCTTGAAAAAAAGATGACTGAGGGGGAAATTGGGTAGCACTTTTCAAATACTTGAAAGGCAGTCTTACAGAGAAGCAGCAGGATCTGTTCTTGAGCATCCCAGAGTGCAGGACATGTAACAATGGACTCAAGCTACAGGAAGCTTGTTTTATGGTGAATATCAGGAAAAACGTCTTTAACTGTTAGAGCACTGCGACAGTGAAACCCACAACCTTGGAAGATGGTGAACGCTCCAGGGCTGGAAAGCATTCCGGAGAAAATGGGACCATCCTCTCTCAGGTTTATTTGGATTCCTGCCATGAGCAGGGGGATGAACTCGATGGCCTTACCGGCCCCTTCGAACTCCATGATTCTATGATTCAACTATTAAGATCAGGCAGTAGAATTCTAAAATATAAAGGCAAATGAAGGAGTCAAAGGGTCCGTTCCCCCCTTTTGGCCATGAAACTGGAAGGTCCCCCCAGCTGCAACCCCAGGGAGCTTCTCCCTTGGGCAAAGACAAGTTGCTCCCAGAAGACTCTTTAATAGCATGGCTCTTGGATGATGGGAGTTATCATCCCAAGCAATGATTCTCTCCCTGCCCTTGAGGGATGTCCTCTGAAGAAGCTGTGATCTCCAGGAGAGGGGCAAAGGACGCCCCTGACCTAGAAAGGGCTGACCGGAGTACACATTCTTCCTTTAGACATGCTGCTTTGCCACGTGAAAGCTGGAGGTAGAGAGGGGAGAATCAGTGCTGGTAGAAAGGAAGCCAACCCACTTGTTTTTACTACCGTCGTACAGCTGCTTTTCGGCGAGACAGCCCTTGTAATCCATTTGTGCCTCCATCTGGTAAACAGCCCTGCCGTTCCCCTGAAAGCAAAACAAATGATTAAGCAAGGGGAATGAAATCTGTACCCACCATATTTTCACCTTACCCATGATGGATCTGGGAGCCTCTCCTTCCGCGCTGCCTTGGGACATGCTGCCACTCAGTGGTCAAATGGCATAAAGTCTTCTGGAATTCAACTTATTTTACTGCTAAATGTTTTAACAGACACACACACCCAATATCTGAGTGCCTTGTAACAGCCTGCATCTGAACAACCCTCTAGAATCTCAGTATCATTATTAGACCCATTCTACAGGCAGGGAACTGAGCCCAAAAGCTTTCGGTTTGCCCGGATCACTGCAGTCATCTGCTTCACAGTCAGACATTTTCATCCCTTTTATTTATTTATTTCAAATATTTTCAAATGCTTTTGCCTCCCTCCTCTCATTCCATATTTACATATTGTGTCCAGCGACAAAAGTTTTCTGGGCGATTTTTAAAGAGGAGGGGGGAAAGCCATGGGGAGGGCTACAAAACAGCATCCGGAAAGAGCAGCTAGACATTTTTCCAACTGTTGCCAAAGTTTAGCATGGAGATAAGACAATGCTGCAGCTGCTGGGCATCGTGTACCCAGTGTATGCCCACCACTGGAAGCCTCCTGTATTCCTTTCTCTGGTTCGTTGGATTTCATTATCCCGATTCTGGGCTCGCCCTTCGTGCCCATTTTGCATCGTCAGTGCCTGTTGGGAGTTTTTACAACCTTGCCTGCTGCCTGGACTGGGAAGGGACCTTGGCGGGCTGGAGCGACGGCCCATCTATCCTCTGTTGGGGACGACGCTGACAGTGCCACGCAGCCTGCTTTGTGCCCACGGAAGTTGCCAAGGCCCTCAAATGGCCCAGCGAGACACCAGAAAGGGGAGCTGGTGGCCAGGGATATGACTTCCTTATGGCCATGGCGGTTGTGTGCACTTCAAAGCAAAATGGCAACCCCGCTGTAATCCTTTGACTCCATGTGAGGCAGCTTCCTATTCTCCTTGCCTGCTGACCACAGTCACACCTGACCTGAAGTCAGTTTCGGTGGGTTCTGTAACCCAAGCCCGGGCTCCTATGATTTGTCCTGAAGCATGGGGTGTGAAAGCTGGACAGTTTTTTAAAAAGCTGATCAGAAGGAAATGGTTTCATTTGAAATGTGGGGTTGGAGGAGATACCCTGCATGGCTAGACAGACAGACAAACAAGTGGGTCCTAGAACAGATCAAGCCTGAACTCTCTCAGGAGGCAAAAATGTTGAGACCAAGGCTGCCCTACTTTGGGCCCATCATGAGAAGGCAGGATTTTCTGGAAAAGACAATAATGCTAAGAGAAGTTAAAGGCAACAGGAAAAGAGGGAAATTAAATATTTGATGGACTGGCTTAAGTTTGCAAGAGCTGAACAGAGCTGTTGAGGGCGGGATATTTTGGAGATGGCTCATTCACAGAGTCAGCCGTTAAGTCAGAGGTGACTTGACAGCACATAACAACAAGAACAACAATCCTGAATCAGCTTCCTGGAACAATAAACAAAACGGTTGCTTCTTTTCACCTCCCTGGGAGGCCCCAAGTCCTTTAAATTGCTGCAAAATATAACACTAGCCCGTTAGCACTCAGTTGGCATAAATACCAAATATTCTTACGGTAGAGTCACCTGAGTGGTCTGGGATATTCAACCAAAATTATGCTTACAGCAACTCTCTGAAAAACAGAACACAACCGGCCTGGTGGGTAAGAATGAATGGAATCTCCCGAAGCCCTGACACAGAAAGCTAATAACCGGCTTAGGCTTCTCCGAGGTGCAGAAGGGGCCCAGCTGTTCTTTCCACCTCCTTACTTCAAAGAGCTGTTAATGCCTTATTTGTGTTGTTGACGAAGATTGGGGAGGGGGGAAGGGCAGGGTGAAAACCACATTCCTATCAGCTTGAGTGATCATCACTAACAGATAACAGGGTTATATCATCATTATATATCTATTCCTCTTTCTGTGCCAAGAGGTTTACAAGTTCCTTTTGACAGCATTATGGAGAAGGACACCTCAAACTCCTCTCTTTGGGGCAGCTGTTGCGACCGTACACAAAACACCCTGGAATGACAACAACACTCCAGAGAAACAAGGGTGCCCCTCCCTGAAAATATTCACAACAATTATTCTAGCAATGATTTGGAGCAGTGGGTTCCCACGTTGGGACCTCAGATGTTCTTGGACTACAACTCCCAGGAATCCTGGCCAGCACAGCTAGTGGCGAAGGCTTCTGGGAATTTTAGTCCAAGAACACCTTTGGACTCAAGCCTAGGAGCCATTGATTTGGAGGGTGTAGTGCAGGTCTCCATTCCCCCCCAACTCCGAGGGTCCTGGGGTTAGACATATGTACTCCCCACATCTAAGTCACGCCAAGAAGATTGACCTTTGTTTTCTACTCTTCATTCACAGCAAAAGTTCGGAGACCCACAGAGATTAACTTTCAAACTCCTAGATAGCTCACTCCTTTTGTCATCAATTGGCACTTACAGTCTCAATAACTCACCCTGAGACATTATTACTTCCATTTCTACATGGCAAAACATCTGAACTTTAGACTCTCTTCTGCTTTCAGGAGAAAAGAATACTCTGTGAGTCACTTATACTTCACAAGAGAGGAGAATATTACATACAAACATATCCTTCCAATTTCTGCCAAATTATCAGTCGCATGAAGAAACCATGTCTTCATTCTACCATGACTCTAGAGCCAGTCGAACCCTGAGCAGGAATTCCAGTATTAAAAAGAGAGAGTGGAGGGCCCCTCCTTCCCTTTCTTTCATACTGCGGAGGTGGCGCTTCCCCTTCATTCGTGACCATCTGGTTCTCAAATTCAAAACGCGCTGACCCTGAAATTCAACCAAAAGCCACGCTAATTCTGTGCCACATGGGACAGATGAAAGGACATTAAATCAAGTTCTTACTTCTAACAGACATGACAGGAAAAATCTGAAAAAGCAAAAACCCTGCAGACATTTTACCTTGTGACATTTTGAGAGTTTTTGAAAGAGGAAAGTGGGATATAGCGCTCATTCACAAGAGCGCTGAAGATGTGTTTGAAATAACAGGATGAGAGGATGGAATTTGCTGTCAAGTGTATTCATCTGGGGTTCATATTTTAAACCTGATTGAGCAATTAACAGGAGCTAACCATGAGGTGAGATCCATCTTTGGTCTTGTTAAAGCCTAGAAAAGTGACTTTTATCATTTCTTTTCATTTCCCATCACAACACAGGTAAAACAATTTCTTGTCATCCACAGTATTATAAAAATAACTCACTACGTTGCTCATTCATTACTTGTGGCTATGCATGCCCCCGTTTTTTATAGCACGGGAGAGGAGATGACGTAGGAATGATGAACAGAATGGAGTGAATGTTGAAAAATTATGTCAAAATGACCAAATTTCAGTTGGGGAAAAAAAACCTTTAGCCTAGTTTCATCAGTCTAAAATTCAGCAGTGAACTGTAGCAAGTTTTAGAAGTCAGTGTCAGCACAACATAGTGTTGGTGTGTGACAGCAAATGCCTACCCTAGCTTCTTGTGGCAATTCACTGCTAAAATTTACGTGGATGGAGTTAACATCGGTGGGCGCAACTAACAGGCATTTAAGGGCATTTGAAAATGCCTTCAAAAAGTGATTTTGAAAAATAAGTAGAAAACGTTAGAAATTTCCAGAGGGAAAGTCTGTTTCCATCACATTGGGCACTATGAGATTGTCCTACCCTTGAAAAAGGAGTAACTCGTGGCAAATGAACCCCTTATTTGTAAACTGTTGGACGTCCAAGGTGCTTTAGAAGCCAACTACGGTAAATGAAACTCTGCTGACCATTTTTTAAAGGTGAAAATCTTCTCCTTGCAAATGGAAACCAAATAAATACCCTTCCTTTTTATTTTGGCCTAAGGAGATTGATGCTTGCTGGGAGTACACAGATCTACATGATCTGAATTCGCAACTCATGTACGAAAACTTCACGTCAGCCTCACGTGATCCTTGATAATGTGATATTATGCACTTACATTGAGGGGGAGGGGGAGATTCCCTGAATAACTGACATGGAGGTGTGAAAGGATCTGTGTTCACCAGTTTTCACTTTATTTCGGTTGAAAGGATTTTCAGCGTGTACAGATAGTCTGGATAAAATACTAGATGTTGTTTCTGGGTTTAAAAAACTGTCTCATGAGTGCATGTACAAATAATATTATGGCATTTTGTGTTACCTGACTATTTCCAAGGGGCAATACTATACGAATGGATATGACTTTTGTCTTTCTTATAGAAGAATACAGAATACAGCTGTGCATCTTCAAATATTTAACAGAATATGTAAAAATAAAAACCCTTTACATTTTTTTCCTTCTTATTTGGCTTTGAAGAACAATTAAAATCAAGAGTGTGGCATACAGCAATAGACATCTTAACAGCCCTGCATTTCAAAAAAGAAATATGGCTACAGCATTATTAGACATTTTCAAATAAAATGTGACCAGAGAAGGAAATATAAATTTTTAAAACTCAGTAGTAGGTTGCTTCAAGAGGAACGTAACTTCCCATGACTGTTTTATTGGCTATACAATCTTGTTTCTTGCTTTCAGTGGGTATTTTTCAGCTTTTATATATATAGGGTTGTTTGATTTCCTTTGGCGAAGCAGGTGATTTTTAGGCTGATTGGTGTCTAGATGATTGAGACACTGAAAACTGAAAAAAAATTATGTGTTTACACAATATACACATTTCATTACTTACAATGGAAAAAATAAGCTTAAACATTTCATATTAAAAACCGGGAATACAGTAGGGTTAGTAGCACCATGAAGTTGGGCTGTTGGCAGAACTGTAGCATCATCTCCGTAGAACCCTCACAGTGCATTTGGTTTGCTTCTGAGGCCATTTTGGCAAATGGTGTCCCTCTCGGCCCTTCGGGGCGGGGGAGAGAAGGGGGCGCCTTCACGTCCCCTTCCTTAGCGACCCCTCAAGTGTCTCCAAAATCTTGTTTTCAAGAGGTCAGTTCTTGAACGAAAAAAAAAGCATTTAAAAACTGCACCAGAAGATAATTGCCTTCAAGATGGCAATCTGGGAGAGGGGGATACACTGGAATCTGCATTGCTTGGATTTTCCTCTTCTTCTTTTATAAAGTTTTTTCTTCTTCTCTGCTTTGCATAATAGCACCATTGTTATAGCTGAAGGACAGTGCACCCAAAGTTGTTCGGTTGACGTCGTTCTCTGTGTGTGTCTTTTTGAAACAGTCTCCAAGGGATTACGTCCTCTTCATGCATACCTGGCATCGACTAATACGTGTCCTCAGATCCCCAGCCTTCAGGGTTTCTGACTGAGGTTTGCTAAGGAACAGAAAGACAGAAAAAAAAGTTGCTTGCCTTAATCCAGGTAGAGGGACCCCCTCCCCGTCCTCATCAGCTAGCCTTCGGAGATCCACCTCACTGTCCTTTTCTCCCACCCCCCAACGCTTGGCTTCCATAGAGGTGGCGAAGGATGGGGCTTCTCTTCTTATCCAGAACCTTATCCTTGGTCTCTTTAAGCCGATATTGACAACTCAGACTAGCAACAGGTCTCCAGGGCCTCTGAAAGGCATTGTCTCCAACTATGTACAGTAGGAAATCCCCTCCCCATTCCGCTGGAATGGCATTTGTGGATTCACTTAGGCACTGCCTGAAAATGTGTTTTTTTTGGTATCCACCCGGGGAGGCGGCTGGCTGTATTTTATTTTTTATTGTTTCCTGCTGAGCAGAGGGGTGCTCCCACGACACTCATTATTTCCATCTCTGTGTCACTGAAACTAAAAGAGAGAAGGGGCAACGCTTACCTAAACATTTCGGCCACCTCCACAGTTGCTAGCCAGAAGCTGTACGAATTGGCATAATAATTGCACGTCCCTCGACCATGACACTCAATAAAGGGCGCAGAGCGGAATTCTTCCAGGCAGGAGCCGGGGGAAGCCAACGCCTGTCCAGATCCCTCTGCACCAGCACTGGTGTGCTAAGCAAAACCAACAAGTGGATCAGTTTGACTCTACTCAAGCAGCATCTGGTGAAAGCAGTCCAATACAGGAAGATTCAAAAGGATCCCCTCCTTCTCCCACGCCCCATTCTCGAAAGACAACATAAACTTTACAACAGGTCTCTCCAAATTTGTGGCCTCAAGATGTACAATAGCTGGCTGGATAACCTCAGCGAGTTAAGTATCTGGCCGTGGAGCTGCAGATTGGGAGTTCAATCTCCCACTAGGTATCCTGGGGAAAAAGCCAGCCTGCGTAGCCTTGGGCAAACTGCTCAATCCCAGAGAAACCCTAGAGGAAGGGAACGGTAAACCACTTCTGCGCCTACAGTGGTGCCTCACATAGCGATGTTAATTGGTGCAGCAGAAATCGCCGCTACGCTAACCGAAAACATCGCTATGCGATTTAAAAACCCCCATTGAAACGCCTTCAATGCATTCCAATGGGGGAAAAACTTACCTTTAAGTGAAAATCCTCCATACGGCAGCCATTTTCGCTGCCCGGTAAGCGAGGAATCCGTCCCAAAAGAGAGCGGGCGGCCATTTTTTTTCCTGGTGGCCATTTTGGAACCGCTGATCAACTATTGGAAAAAATCGCTATGCGGAAATTGGTAAGCGAAACAGCTTACCGATCATCGCAAAGCGTTTTTTTACCATTAAAAACATTGTCATGCGATCGCTTTTGCGATTGCAAAAACCTAATCGTTATGTGGATTCATCGTTAAACGGGGCGCTTGTTAAGCAAGGCACCACTGTATGTAGAAAACTCTGGAAAGAGCCACCATAAGTCAGAATTGACTTGACGGCACATGATGGAAGAGGAGACGAACAAATACTTTATCCTGAGTCAACCAATGAAACAAAACCCTGGAATATGCAGGGCTGAGAAGTCCCACCTTTGAAACTAGCACAGGTTGCATATTTTTCCACAACAAAGGGCTACGACAGTGCTTTGTAATGCTACCATAGCAAGAACATGATACAGTTTTAACCTACGGAGTGGCCAAACCAGATCTCAAAGAGAACTGGAATCCCCCTGGGCAGCAGTAATGGTAAACCACTCTTTGAACCTCTCCTGTGCCTCGAAAGTCCCGTCAGGTTTCTCTTAAACTGGAAGGCATCTCTTACTAGCCTTCCCTCTCCACCGTGCAGAGGAGGATGCAGAGAAAGACCAAGGTCACGGAGATCGGGAATCAGTTCAGAGAGATTACGTACCATCATGAAAGAATAACCGATCCACAGGGAGCTCCAGCCGGGCGGACATGTTGGGATTTGAATGGTTTGGCTGTGGACCGCGATCACCATGGCAGGGGCTTCACAGACAATGCACCTGAGGAGAGGGGCCAAGACATGAAAAGAGAGCCATGTCAGAGGTTTCAAATGCCAAAGGAAAGGTTGGATTTGAACACGTTGAAGAGCCTTCAAATGTCACACTAAAACATCCTTTTAGCTCTGCACCTGATTTTGAGGTGCTCGCTGGACAGATACCTCGGGGAAATCCACAAGCAGGATTGTCAAGGTGGTGACTCTCTCCCATTGTTGCGGTTCAGCAGCTAGTAGTAGCAGTTAGACTGCTCTTGGATATGGAGGTCCCATAGAGTCACGAGGGCAAAGGGAGAAACTCTTTTCTAAGCACTAAAGCTCTTGGAATACTCAATAGAGTATTTTGGGAGCCATAGTTTGAAAAGAGAGCAAACTTTTTTTATTTCTGGGAATAACAGATCATAAATCTCTTTTTCACGGGTATGTCAATTCCTTTGTAAATCTCTACTGAAACCCAACTGCAACTCAGAAAAAGTAAAGAAATTCACATTAACCAGGTTTTTCTTAATTAATTAATTCAATATATAGCCCACAGGATGATGAGGGACGGCACTCTCTTTCCCTCTTCAAGAGGAACCCAGAAGCATCAAATTCCTTATTTTCCTTTCTTGAATTTGATGTGAGTAAAGGTGCCCAGTTAAAAAAATGCACAGAAAAATTTTCTAATCGGTGGGGAAAAAAACAACATAATATGTACACCTTGAGAAGATCAGGAATAGTGTGTATCAAAGTATGCATTATTTTCCACAGGAAAAAATACTGCATCCAAATATGGAACTTGGTTAGGCTGAGAATGATCTAAGAGTTTAAGATCACAGATTTTCACACTCACATCTCATCCATGTCTTGTAAAACCCCACTAGTTGTGTATTCTGTGATTTCATATCCAAGAGAAACTTGGGCAATCATCTGTTTTGACAGAGATTCCTGCATTGAACAGGGGGTTGGGTTTGATGACCTTATGGCCCCCCTTCCAACTCAATTAGTCCATGATTCTACGATTCTACGATATATTGTGTAAACAAAAACAGCCATTTCTCAGGAAATAATTGCTTGAAAAATCTATTTGGTACCCTAATTCGTCAAATTATTTGGCAATGACCTCAACATCGGGTCTTCTAAATGGTTTTTCACCTTAACAAATGAAAAGGTCAATTGAAAGAGAAATTAACCCATGAATTAAATATTAGTCACCTTATCACTCTAAGACACGGCTCGCCATAGACGACCATGCCTGAGTGATGCAAAGAGGTAAGGAATCAATCCAGATAGATCTCTCACCGGCTAATAAAGGGCTGGATGCTCTTTCCAGTTAAGGGCTCCATGCTCATCGGCATCGGCTCAGGGGTAGAGAGCCAGTAAGAATAGTCGTTTCTTGATGCAAAATTGCACACGTTGTTGATGTTACAGAACATAAAAGGCATGGTGCTGAAACGGCGGAGGCAGCTGCCGGCGGTGCCTAGCAAATGAGAGAGAGATTATATATGGAAAAATCCCAAGATATGGACCCGACATCCTGTCGTTGCTGCATTTTCCAGTATTGTTTCAAGCCCATCCATCCATCCATCCATCCATCCATCCATCCATCCATCCATCCATCCATCCATCCATCCATCCATCCATCCATCCATCCATCCATCCATCTCTCCATCCCTCCATCCATCCATCCATCCATCCATCCATCCATCCATCCATCCATCCATCCATCCATCCATCCATCCATCCATCCATCCATCCATCCATCCATCCATCCATCCATCCATCCATCAAATTTACCACTGACTTCATGTGGGACACTATTTACAAAGCAATAACTTGAATCACCCAACAATACCGATAAAATAAATACCTACTTCAAATAAAAACCCCAAATGATGGAAGACTCCGGGGAGCCCATATGGAGAGAGATTTAGGGGAGGAGGCCCTTAAATGCCTCCTGAAACAACCATGTCTTTAGCATCCTCCTGAAGGTGGAGAGAGAGAGGAGGTCTGATGGACTTCCACAGGGAACCCATTCTGTAAAGTAGGGGAGGCAACTAAGAAGGCATGGTTTCTGCTGACTGTTTTCTTCACCTCCTGGAATGGGCTGGTGTTCCTCCAAAACTCTGAGGACAGCAAGACCCCAAACCCGGTTAAGGGCTTTACAGATTGGCACTAAAACCTTGAATCGGGCATGGAAAAGCCCCACAAGCCAGTGGGGAGTGAATCACAACCAAAAGAAGGAGGAGCTCCCCAGGGAAGGTTAGTAGCTTTGATGTCACGATGGTGGAGGAGGTGGTGGTGAATCCAGTCTGGGTTTTGCTGGGAACTTTAAAGGGGACATCTGAGAGGCTGAGCCAATCTTGGGGGGGACCAAACGTTACCGTTCGGCTCCTGTTGACTTCAGCCACTGAATCAGTGGGGCTTTGGCCAAGTCCACGCTAGGCGTGTGATCAGCGGATTGGACAGCGGCATTAACACATGATTTTACAATAAGAGCAACGTAAAAAACAAGGATCAACATTTCCTTCATGGGGAATTCCTGACCACAGGTGGCAACCAGGGCTATAGCTCACCCAAGTCTTGTCCGTGGGCCCTCTCGTTCCCTTGCACGTAGAGAAGAGAAAATCCATCATAGACACGGCTGGTTCCTTGAGGGCAGAAGGGCGTGTCCGTGGTTTGGCTGTGGCGAGTGATCAGGAAGCCATGGGCCACTGAAGCGGTACCGGGAGGGCCAGGCGGGCCTTGTAATCCATCCGGGCCAGGGGGGCCCTGCGAACCCCGAAAACCTGTAGGTATACAGGAGAAACATTGCCCTCACAACTCAGACTGGATGTAAAGATATAGACTACAGGCTGCAAAATGGTACGGCACCTCGGAGAGATGGAACAAGCTGACAATAGGCACGTTTCCTTTGGAACGGTGTGCAAGCGTTCTTCATTGATACGTCACCCAACTATTGCATTCCACACAAAAGTCACATGTCTCTAATCTTCAACAGATGCTTGCAATACCTGGTTGGCCTGGAAGTCCCCGTTCTCCTTTTCGGCCACCCGGACCATCAAATCCAGGACGTCCATCCCGTCCGGTATCACCAGGAAGGCCAATGGGACCTGGATAGGTACACAAATTAAAATAAATGTGGCTTTTGCAAACAGGCCAAGAAAATTCAGCAAATATATTGTTATATGTTTTCTGTTGCGGGAGCAAGCCAAATGTGAAACAAGGGATTTAAATCTGCACTTGTGTGTTTCCTGTGTTTGAGAACTAAGAATCATAAACTTATTATCCTTACTTGATCTCCCCCAGGAGTTTCTTCATTTTTGAGGACAAATTTTTGTGATTTGTGCAAGTTGTGCAAATAGCATCTCTAACCTAGGATAGCTGTGGTCTTGTTTCAAGGACTGTTGAAAATCCAAGGCACTGAATGGGTAGTTTGTGTCTTTTTAATCAACCAGCTAGCTACGTGCATAGGCCTTGCTTTGTAAAGGGCAAATACAACAGCTTTGAACAGAGACAATTTGCACAAATTCATAAAAGCTCCATAAAAACCCCCTATGCATCAGGTTCTCACCAAGGAGGTAAGAAATATCTTACAAACTTTGACAAGCTGTCTTGGCATGTAGAGAAATCTTGTCTCACCAAGAATAAGTAATTTAGTAATATCTCTTCACAAGAACATGTGACTCAGTATGATGTAGCGGTAGACTGTCAGAATGGGACTCAGGAGAACTGGGTTCAAACACTAGCTTGCACATGGAAACTCAATGTGGAGTGGCAATAGGAAATGAACCCATAAATATCTTGTATACCTTCAAAACCCTATAGGTCAGTGGTCCCCAACCTTGGGCCTCCAGATGTCCTTGAACTACAACTCCCAGAAACCTTCACCACCACTTCTGCAGGCCAGGATTTCTGGGATTTGAAGTCCAAGAACATCTGGAGGCCCAAGGTTGGGGACCACTGCTATAGGTCACCATGAATCAAAGCGACGACAGCAACTCCTACATGTTAGACCTGTGACGAGTTGCTTTTACTAAGTTTCTTCCATCTCCTGGAAGTCACTTACCTGGAAGACCTGGAGGTCCTGGCAGTCCAGGTAGACCTTTCAGTCCAGGTTGCCCCGGTGGACCTGGTGGTCCTGGGTCACCTTTTACCACAATTGTTTGTCCAGCTGGGCCTGGTATCCCTGGAGAACCTATAGGACAAAGCAAAGGCCATCTGAAGTTAGATGCCGTGAATTTTGTATGCCAACTACCCTATAATTTGGGCTGGAATCCTGCTGACTTCTGCATCTCATGCTACAGAGGTAGCACAATCAGTTCGACTTTTATTACTCTTACGCAAAGAGGTATTCAGTATTGGGAGCCCTACTATCACACAGCCATGCTTCTTTAAAGCAGAAGGAAGTCAACAGGTGAGATTCTCTCTTCTCAGAGACCCATCTACTCCACACGGCGGAATAGTGCTGGGATGGTAGTATATAAACACAATAAGTAAGTAAGTAAGTAAGTAAGTAAGTAAGCAAGCAAGTAAGTAAGTAAGTAAGCAAGCAAGTAAGTAAGTAAGCAAGCAAGTAAGTAAGTAAGTAAGTAAGTAAGTAAGTAAGTAAGTAAGTAAGTAAGTAAGTAAGTAAGTAAGTAAGTGAATGACCAGTGCTTGTCACTAAATCAGGTGATAAGGAAGTACATGAATGAATGAATGAATGAATGAAAATACAGACAGATAGACAGACCGACAGACATACCTGGAGAACCAGGAAGTCCAGGCTCTCCTCCAAGGCCAGGTGGTCCTGGAGGTCCAAGGGGACCCTTCATACCTGAAAGGCCAAATCCGCACTGTCAATACATGAAGGAGAAGACAGACTCATGCATCTTGCTGTCTTGTACTAGAGAAAGAGAGAGAGCTATTTGTGTAGCTCAGTTATGGGGAACTCCTCTTTTGCAGGGGCTTGAAGGCTCTACTAGGACTGGGGGCTTCCAGGTTTTCACCCCACTGGGTTGTGGGACGCATTGGAGTGTGTGTGTGTGTGTATGTGTGTGTGTGTGTGTGTGTGTGTGTGTCTTGCATCAGGCACTTTCTGTCTTCCACCTGAGGTCATAGGGCTCCTATGAGGATAAAGTGGAGGACAACCCTATAGGTTGGCTCATTGGAGGAATATAAATGCATAAAATACAAACTAATAGAATGGACATTCTGCGCATATCAGCTCCTCAAAGCATCCTTGACCTTCCATGGATCGGGACCCAGGCACTTGGAAGCCCTGACTTCTACAATTTGAGTAGGTAAGAAGATCTGTTTGGGAGGTTCTCGTCTAGGGGCCACCCGTTGTCAAGACAGGCAGCAACCAGGGACAGGGCCTTGCGGGCGTTAGCCCCTCCACTCCAAAACGCTTTCCCCCAGCAGATCTGGCAGGCAGGAATTCTTTAAACGTTTTAGCTCCAGGCTAGATAATTCTTGACCCTCCAGGTGTTGATGGCCCTCAACTCTCAGCGCCTTTAGCCATGCAGGCTAGACAGGACCAAACAGGACCACCATAAATTCCACCTTCTGCATGGACAGGCGCAAACCCATTATGCAAGAGACATTCATACCCAGAAACATGGACGCACGCCCCCCTTTATATCAACCATACATCCAAAAGCAGGTCTATGCATTGGCTGGGCCAGTGCAGGAGTGCTGTGGGGAGGGGCAGGTTTAAATGTAATGCTTGCCCCTGCCCCAAACTCTTCAACTTTTGAATAAGAAAGGCGAGCGGGCTACCTTGATGGCCAACCGTCTCTTTTACACCATCGGAAACGGACTTCCAGTCACTTCCGGGTTTCCTTTTTCAAGGACAGTGGGCCCTGTGATGGGTGGAAAGCTGAAGCTCGGAGCTGGCTTAAAATGACTATAGATGGTTGTCTTTTGCGTACCTGGGAATCCTGGAAGTCCGGGAACACCTGGATCCCCTTTCATTCCATTCAGGCCTGGACGACCAGGATCACCCTAAGAGAAACACATCGAGGGTTCGATTGTTCTTTCCACATTCAAAGTATCAAAAGAAAACCAAGGACCCAGAGAGAGGCCGAGAAAGAGAAGACCAGGGACCGGCCTTTCTTGGCGGTTGCTTCTCACCACTGGAATAAACTCTTGCCCAAAATTCACCTGGTTCCTTCAATGGGAATTTTGAAGAGATCTCTGAATACATGGTTGTTTAGACAGGCATTTCCAGATATTACACTGACAGAACGCAGTGCTTTCTTTCAGCGCTTCCGTTATCTGCTCCGCCACCTTGTTTGTATTAATCTTTTAAAAGAGTGTCCTTTTCTTAGTCTAAGCTGATCGATATGTTTTAATTTGACTTTGTATTGTTATTCTGTTGTTTTTTTTAAAATTTAAAGTGATATTTGTTGTTTTATTATGTTGTGAATGACCCAGAGTGGACTAAGTAGCCAGGTATATTTGTTGTTTTATTATGTTGTGAATCACTCAGAGTGGACTAAGTAGCCAGGAAGGCAGTATAGAAATCAAATCAATAAGTCAAATCAATGAATCAATCAATCAATCAGGGCTGAAGACCATCAGGTTGTCCCTTTTTTGGCATGGACAAAACCACTGAAAACAGAACTGATGACACCTCCAGTCAAGCGCAGTCTAATAATAATGCTTAAACCATTGAAAACAGAACTGATGACACCTCCAGTCAAAGGCAGTCTGTCTAATAAGAATGCTTTGTTGGGAGTTTTTGCAACCTCGCATGCTGCCTGTGGTTTGAGTGACTGGGCGGGACCTTTCTGGGCTGGGGTGGCTGTCAATCTATCCAGCACTAACCAATCATTCCTTCCAGTCTCAGAATTCAAAGAGAGCCCCGCCTCTCTGCTGAGTTCTCTCTTTCCCTCTCTTTATTTTGTTGGAAGCAGTTTGTTGTCTGCTTTGTGTCAGTTTGCTGTCTGAGCTGTTCACAACTGTCACTCTCACAGTGAATGACTGAAACGATAGGTGCCAACCAATGATAAAGGGGTGAACTGCTCTGGGGGAACTTGAAGCCGTTCTCCTCAATAAATCCCTGCACTTTGGCTGCACAGCACAGGGAATTTAACAACAACAACAACAACAACAACAACAACAACAACAACAACAACAACAACAACAACAACAACAACAAAAAATTCAAAACTCTGCAGCTCAGATGAGGAGGAAGGCAGAGGAGGCGGAGGAGGGAAGCCTGTGCTCCCGCTGGGACTGGAAAGATCACATGAAGAGGAGGAAAAAAGCCGCGCAAGCCGGGTGATGGGTGGGGGAGCTGGGCAGGGAATGCAGGTGCCACACCAACAACCTTAGACAACTGGGCACAAAGCAATTCATGCCCATCTCTATTCCAAAACCAATCCCTTGATTTTGGAATAGAAAAGCTGGAAAAGCAGCAATTTAGCAAATTATTTCCTCTTGCCCCTTTCTCCTGATACTTACAGGGCGTCCCGGTAATCCTTGATCTCCCTTTAAACCAGGAAGCCCAGGCTGGCCGGGGAGGCCAGGATTTCCTCTTTCACCTTTAACTGCTGCAGTTCCAGGGGGTCCACGGGGGCCTTCAGGACCAGGCAGACCTTGATGTGGCAAAGCAGACAATTTGTGGGTCAGAGTGTGACTTCATTCCCATGGAACCCAATTCCCGTGGAACCCACTTCCCATGGAACCCACATTCCCGTGGAACCCATACATGTCATGTACGACAGGTAGCCTTAAAGAGCCCAGCTCTCTGGAGTTGTGGGGAGATACATCACCCTCCCCCCAAAAAAAACCCTCAGAACTAGTCCTTTCCCCCCTCTTGCATGTCATTGTTCAGAATTAACAACCCATTAGGGCCCATACACATGGTGGCTAGGAGCCGTCACCCTTAAAAAGCCATCTTTCTAAGCTCTGCTCCACATTCAATCCCCATTCAAGCCTTCCAGAGAAAAAGGATTAATCTGACCACATAAACACTACAGAAGGCATGGCGAGCAACAGCCACAAAAGGAGAATCCAGCTATTTCCACGTCTCTGTAAATCCCAGTTATCCAGGGTCCCCAACTGCGTGGAAAGCCTCTACATATGGCAGAGGTTCTCTCCTATTAAGAGAGTGAGGAAGAAGAGTGATGGGAGAGGGGCTCACACTCTCCTTCTCCTCAACGGGCCAGATTAACTCTTGTTTTTGAATGCCTCAAAAAGGCATGAGGGTTCAACAGGCTCCTTCTTCAGTTTGCTAACCTGGCTCGTAAATGTAGACCTCCTAAAGAGAGTATGGTCCATATCAGATGATTAGCATCAGTGACCACACTCATTCCCTTCGTTTCAAATCATGTCTACCTTACACCAGTGCACTTAGAACACACTAGCCAGAATCCTATCGCTAATATACGCCTGCGTAAGGAAAGCTGGATAAACATCCTTAATCCAGTCCTGAGTGTTTTCCTGGACTGTAGCCAGAACCTTGTGAACAAGCAGCAATTTACCATCAAGACTCATGATATTTCCCCTACGTGTATGTAAATCAGCAAAAAGATTCTGGCCAGCACTGACAATATCTGTTCTTACAGATGGTTAGGGTAGTGACTGAGTAGAGAGAATCAAGGTTGGACCATTGTCTTTTGTTCAAACTTTCATAATTGATTGAATGAACTTTACAGGGTATGGGGGACAAACTTATATTACAGTTAATACATATTCATTGACAGACTGTAATGGACCCATGTGTATAATGTATTTTATCATAAAATTCTAAAATATGCAAAATTAGTGATGCATTTCTTAACATGAACATAAGGTACAGCGTCGCAGAAGACAGATATTACTGATGTATTGAAACGTTTAACCAATATTATCAGTGCCACTCTAGTGGAGATTTTGATAACTTCCTTTTGATCAATATTTTAATCAATGTTTTGTTTTTACTGTTCTTAGTAAACCTTTAAGCTCCTGCTGACTCTCAAAAAGGTCAGGACTAACTAGGGAATGCTATCTTTTTTTTAAAAAGCACAATGAGAATCATATATACAAAGCATCAGCAAATTCCTAAACACCATTTTTAATATCATAGAATTTTTGCCAATTGGAAACCTCATTTGCAAGGGAGAAAAATCGAGATCTGATACACCCTGCTTTTAATCTGTATATACAAAGGTGCAAATGTATAATTCTTACAATATTGGCAGTGTTCTGATGTAACAATATCCTTTAATGTTCCATTATTTATGTTTTTATGCTTTTCCCTTCCCATTCCCCATAAAGCTGTGAGGAGGACACCAGAAAGTTTACTCTGCTTTCAACTAACCCGGTTTAGCATTATGTTAGACTCGTAACTTCTACTAATGTTAACCATGGTTTATTAAAACAAGCCAACTTCATAAATCATGATTCAAAGTTGATGGTTTTCAGTAAACCACAGCTAAAACTAACCACAGTGTGTAGTGTTTGAACACTCCACTAAACTGTGGTTAGTTAGAAATGGAAGCAAAAGTTTCTAATCACCTTGAGACCACGTCAGAAGAGAAGAGAGGGTGGGGATGTGTTAGTTTGAATTTTGCCTATGTGCAGTTCATGGAACGATATCTGATTTGCAGTCAAAACAACATGTTAAACAACGGATGCAACACAGTAAAGCAAACCAACCAAGTTAAGACTCTAACCTGCAGGACCTGGGAGGGTCACAGTTCACCAAAGCCCAATGATCGATGTTAAAGAGGGGAATATCAGACATCACACAGTGTAAAACAAGATTACTGGTTAGAAGTAGCACAGATGAGATACGGATACTAAACAATGAAACCCACTTCACCAGCATACTTTGTATTTACAATACGGCAAACGCTGCATGCATGAAAAACAAAGCCAACCCTCCCCGCCATCACTATAATTACATCTCGACAACGTACAATTTAAGTATACAATTTATTCTGGTGATTAGGCTGCTACCATCAACGTGAAGCAATTCAGTCAACCCAAAACTTTACAGAAGCTCTGGCTTTACTAATATAGCGAGGTGCTATTTGTCTAATTAATTCTGTCTCAACGACGACAGATACGAAATAATACCATTTCACTGACAGTGTTGCACGAGGGCAACCTAGCTGCAACGAGCAGGTGAACTGAGGATTTTTTTTCCCAACCTAACAGTGTGTGCAGGAGGGTGGCCGGAAAATAAGTGGGAATCGGACAGCCAAGGGATGCAGAGCCGAGTTTAAACAAAACTGAGAATTCTAGCATCCTTTTCGTTAGGCCTATTTCCAATTAGTTGCATTAATTACTTTGACAAATTGTATCAACATTCCCTCTAAGGTGTCCACGGAGGAGCCTCAATGCCTGTTTGTGTCCAAGTCTGGGAGGAAACCCCACCTCACGTACAGATCCCACATGAGAACAATGAGAGGGAACGTAAGTTTATACATAAGCAAAAAGCTGGATATTGTTATATATTTCTCCACAATCAGTTTTTTTTAAATCAAAGTTCACTCTACAGTTTAAATTGCCGTGGGGCTCCCATATCCATGGGATCGGTATCTGGGGTTACACTTATCCATGGCTTGCCACAGTCCCTATATACAACATACAAGGGCACCCTCTTGTGGCCTGTACGATGCCTCCTTGTATGTTGCATATGGGGTTCCCTTGTATCCGCTGCTTCAGGTATCCACAGCAGATCAGGGCTCCTGCTGTGTATATCATACACAATGCTACCAGGGCATATATGTTGAGTCGGGGAAAAGGACGGTAAGCACTGACCATTTCTTCTGCCTATTATATGCTTCCATTCTCGTGGCTTGCTTTGGAAAACTCGAGTCACTGCCTTTTTGGTGGGTTTTTTTTTAAAAGAACATTAAAAAATATTTAAGAATATTAAGAAAGCTTCACTGGTGACCTCTGGACGGAATCTCACTTTGGAAAACTCGAGTCACTGCCTTTTTGGTGGTTTTTTTTTAAAGAATATTAAAAAATATTTAAGAATATTTAAAAAAACCTTCACTGGCGACCTCTGGACGGAATCTCTACATCAAATTTAAGAATATTAAGAAAGCTTCACTGGTGACCTCTGGACGGAATCTCAACATCAAGGATACTGATTTGGTTTAAAGGGGGCTACAACTAATTTTAGGGCATGTTTTAAAGCACGCCCGGATTTGACAATGTATGTGCCATAAACAGAATTCTAAAATATCTCAAGAGCCGTAACTCAGCTCTTGATTCCCCTGAGACTGCACTTTCTCTAGTAGGTCTCCTTAAAGTATTAAAATTGTACTGTAAAATGGCCTCATTCATTACATTTGGCAGGAGATGAAGACAAGATAATGTTCAATTTGTATTTTCCCTCTTGTTTTCTGAATGGAAGAAAATCCATAAACATTATTTCCAGGTATGGCCGCTGCTGTTGTTGCTATTTCAGATACCTTAAATAGAGACCCTCTTTCTTCAGGCCTCTTTTAATCCTTACAATATCATTTCCAGATGTTCAGGGTCAAAATTCCTCCCTCCCTCCCTTTTTACATCTAAGGCCACCTATCTTGTTGAGTTGCCTTCTGCACAGCGCCGGGAGGGTAAAGTGAGGTGGAATTCATGCCTTTATCATGAAACGTGTCAGTGAAATGTTTGCTTGTTTTAAACTACGGTTTCCATGCAACATTCCATCATAAACCAGGTTACATGTCTGCTTCAATCTCATTTACTATTTTCCTCTGCACTTGTTTTGAGATCGTACTCCATTAAGGCTAAACAAGAGAAGAGACTAACACAAACCTTCTAGTGTAAAACAGAAGTTTGCCTGTGACTTTAGCTATGACAGAAGCTCTTAAGGCTGGCCTTCATGGCACTTCCACTTTAATAATAAAAGTAACACTCTTCCCTTTGTTTTCAACTTCTGATCTCAGACGAAATAGAGGATTTAATTTGCCACCAGTGATGGTTATATTGATTCCACATCCAGATTTTAAACCTGTTTGCAGTCATGCCGTTTTCCTCCTTAAAAGCTGTCATAGCCAAACTTCTAAGACTTTGTCTCAGTGCAGATCGTACGTATGTGTATGCCAAGTCATTCCTATTCTATGGAAAAGGCATTAAAAGAATGATAATCAGGTCTGAGCAATGTTAGATTAGCATGGAAATAATATTAACTGATACCGGGGAAAATGAAAGGAAGGGCTTTCTTGTAGCATAGCTCTTTAATAGCTACTTAGCTCAAATGAATTCAAGAGCATTTCCCCCTAGGCAGCTGGGCTGGATAGCTCAGTATCTTAGGTATCTGGCTGTAGAGCCAAAAGTTAGGAGTTTGATTCCCCACTGAGCCTTGTATGAAAAGAGCCACCCTGTGTAAAGCTGTACAGTCCCAGGGTGCCCCAAGGAGAAAGCTATGAGATATCATTTCCTAGTATTCTGTACATGGAAAACTCTGCAAAGGGTCACCATAATTTGGAATTGACTTGACAGAATGTAATTTTTTAAAAAATGAATTTCTTTGCAAGCAATTTCCCATAATATGCATATCTGTGTATGTAGATTTCCCTAATGTACACATTTTGGCATGTATTTTTTCAACTGGTAAACTGCATTACAAAATCTGAAAAACTGAAAAAAATTTAAAGGATAGATGTGTTATTAGTTCAGAAGTTGGGTTAAGTCATATTAACTTAGCTTTCCCTAGAGGAGGAAAGATCACATCCTCAGGCTCCACCTTTCCACTCTGTGTTTTATTCCTCTTGGGGGGGGGGTTGCGGGTGTTCATTTTCACTTTGTATGTTGCTCCACGCCATCCGTTTGGAGAAGTATCATCCCTACTTGTAGTTCTACTTAAAACATGTTTCCACATCAAGCTCCGAAGAAAAACAGCTGTGGGTGCAGTTGAGATTATACTGTATGCCTCATGCATACCTTGTTGCATGGCAGGGAATTGTGCAAATGTCCTTGTGCCAAAATCTCCATCAGATGCCAAGGAGAAATAAAACCCAGGAGAAATAAAACCAAGAAGAAAGTCTGACCTCTCAGTTTCTAAAAATGGTGCTAATTAATTTAGAGCATGACTCCTTTTTCTGGCATCTCCAAATGTGCCTTTGTGGCTCTTGGCTCTTTGAGTTTAAGCAAAAAAAGTGTTTTCAAATAAACAAACATTTTCCATAATACTTAGCTGTCAACTTTTGAAAAATGCCTTTTCAGGCTGCAAGAACTGGTGCAAGATATATTCCAGCTGTTCCCCATGAATAGACACTAATTCAAAAGGGCAGGGCAGACATTTCTTCATTTAGCCTCTATGAGAGCAGGGATGGACAGATAGTACAAAACTGGTTTGTTAACATTTCTGCACAAGACGTTACCAGGGATCAGCAGTTTCACATTCATGACACACATGGGGGATCAAAGCTCCTGTTGGTGAATATTGGACAGTAAATTCAGTTAGGCATAAAAATAAACTATTTTCCTTACTTGCTACTCTGTTCTTAAAGCCAAGGAATAAAAAGTAGTGTGCTACCAAGCAGATTTCTTGAGGCAAATAATAAGATGAAAAATCAGCCCATCAGACTAGGTTTAGGGGTCCAGAAAATAGTGGCACTGTGGATTAAACCCCAGAAGCCTCTGTGCTGCAGGGTCAAAAGACCAAGCAGTCGTAAGATCAAATCCACGCGACAGAGTGCGCTCCCATCACTTGTCCCAGCTCTTGCCAACCTAGCAGTTCGAAAGCATGTAAATGTGAGTAGATAAATACGTACCACCTCGGTGGGAAGGTAACGGTGTTCTGTGCCTAGTCACGCTGGCCACATGACCA